ATTTATACATTGTGAAATGTACGTAAGGAAATGTGGCATGAACAGAGTCAGAAATGGGCTTTTGAAAATCTAAAAAGACTTGATGGACCCACAGATGATGCAAAACTCCTGCAAGTGAAGAAAAAGTCGAGGCAGTCTTTAGTTAGCATTTATTCATCTGGATGGTTTGATTAAACCTTCAGGTCGAGACGTAAACTCTTATTTCCTCTTTAATTATATCTCCATTACGATGATGTTTGTTGGAGCTGTTGTGCTTTTTGTGGCTTATTACTCTATTTTGCTTCCAAAGCTGATTGTCTGTTTCCTTTGATTACTATTGTATACCCTGAGGTGTAATTTTTTTTCTTCCTATCGGGAATTCAAGCATAAATGCTTCTCTGTTTATTAGTGTGAAATAATTGTTATTGGTTACAAACAATGCCTGGTTTACTGCAGCCATTAGGCTGCTCTCTGTTTTTACTGTGATGCTCAACGGCCTAAAATATTTAGGATAATGAATAGGCCTACATCGTCTTATTCGAGAGTAATTGTCCTTTTGAAGCTAATTGCTATAATTTTTTGTTGAATGTTTACCATCTCTGACCATTACAGAAAACTCATCCAGCTGTAATCCCTCTCAAACAGGCTCTGCACCTTGATGGCACATTAGGAATAAATCTGAGAGAAATGTTTTCATTAGAGCAGAGAGCAGAGAGAATCCCCCGCTCCAAGAGGTTTACTACGCTCTGATCCAATGCATAATGTTCAGACTGCCGCATGTATGTAACAGAGCGAAATAAGTGAGTAAGACTCTCCACTTGACAAGCCAGCTTTTGAGATTTGTCAGTGTGCACTCAACCCAGAGGTGTTTGATTAGAAAGTGACCACTCTTACATTAGTGCTCAACTTGGTTCACATGCTGGTCCAACTAGAGCAAGGCACTTACACTGCCAAGGTTGTGGGTTCAACATGTGCTGTATATTACAGGAGCCATATTATGCTCATGAGCAGGTTGACCACTGAGCTTCAGGAGGAGTGTTTTCCTTGGGGAGAGAAGCTCCTGAGCTTTTACATTCACATAAAAACCTATATACAATAAAACATTTAAATGCACTTGTTATAAGTCACTAGAGACAAAGGCTTCTGCCAAGTGTTTGTAATGTAATAATGTGATGTCACTTTTGATCGGCTGAATATATACACATCTGATGGGAAAGTACATGGCTTTTACATCCTTAGTGATTCCTAATGTTTTTGGCTTGTGACAAATTCTTAAAACAAAATAATGCTGTTTCAACCCATAATCACCAGCTGCACATGTCTTCTGGCCAAACCCAGGTCAATCTCTGTGGGTTTTTCCCCCTTTTTTTACTAATTCACATGAAAACAATAAAGATCAAAAAACATCTAAAAGATTAGCATAACTTGGTGCAGCAGTGTTTTTTGGTTTTTATCTGCTTTTCCGTTCTTCTAATCATCTGAACTCTGGACTGACCTTGCAGCCTTTTATTTTGGTCCCAACCCTCTCATTGGGCACCACTGCCTAAAGGTGGTTTTGCAGACGGAGTGCAGCAGTGATTATTCAGCACCAAATTTTAGCAAAGACATGACAAATAAGAGGATCATGTAGACTTAATACAGCGAGACAAGAAGCAGAAAGAGGCAGAAACAGCTTTGTGCAGGACTAAGTATTTTAATCTTGATTTCAGTCTTGATTGTGATCAATAACACAGAACACTGGCAACAGCCTTGTTTGTCCAGCAGAGAAAGATTTGTGTTTTCATTTTGTTTTGCAGTCTGAGTTGCATCTGAAGCAGCACTGAGCAATTAGTCATTAGCTGAGTGTGGTTTTGGCTTCACAAAATATGAACAAGGTCCCAGACAAACGTCTGCATAGAGAAATAATGTCTCCATTTCATGAAGTCAAAGAAGAGTACGTGCACCTTGTAGAACTGCGATGCTTTCATAGCTCTGCATGTCATTCATGCATTAGTCCATAACTCATTTGTATCTGACTGCGTCTGTCCTCATAGATGCTTATTCTCTCCGCTGCATTTTATTCCTCCCCCCGCCACGCTTCTCTTCCAGTCTCTCTCTCTCTCCCCTTCTGTCTTCTCTTCCCCATCATTATCATCTCTCATCTCGCTCACTATCTCGCCCTCTCCATCTGTCCCCTTCTTATGAAATAAAATATGAATCCATTATTCATTCATTCAAACATATCTATCATCGCCGCGTGCTGCACTGTGCCCCTTATCTGCAAAGCTTTTTCTTATTGTGCTTCAGTTATTCAAGACTCATACGGTCCCAGATGAAAACACCACAACACCGGGGAGTGTTTTTTTTTTTTCTTGAGGTGCAAGCACTGACAAGAGTGGTTCGTGAGGCAGTAAAAATCCCTGTAGGGGGTTCTTCTGTCATAACAATAGCAGTACCAGCTTAAAATAACAGTCGTTTGTGCGGAAGGTTTATATAAAGCAATAAAACACTGGAACCTGCCAATGCACAGCACATACATACTGACTAATTTGTGCGGTAAAGAGCAGGTGATACTATGAGGGAGGTCATGTTATCGACTGTGTCCTGTACATCTTTCCATCGCGTATGTACATCTATATTGTTAGAATTTGATCTCTAGCTTTGGGAGAGTAAAACAAACATGACTAATAGAGGCCCCCCAGCTCCAGTTAGAAGCCCGTAAAAAATGTCCACGTACAGCCCAGGAGATTGATCTCAGCCGAGCATGTCTGCCCATGTTTCAGAGGAATTCCTGGCGGCAGGTCAGCAGTTGTTAGACAGAAAACTTCCAGGTGAAAAAACAATCTGGAAACAGTCTCCAAACTCAACACTGAACATCTGGTATTTAGCAAAATGCCCCATCCACTGTCCACTACTTTGTTCCCCTGACGTGAACCGCCAGGGCTGCGTTTGCTGTGCAATTAATCTGCTTGCCAGAAAGGTTCTTCAAAAGGAATTACAGATCACGACTTGCCGTATGCAACCAAACTCAAGCAGACATAGGGTCAAGGCAGCAGTAACACGTGTCCCTCTGTCTCTGTGCAGGATGCTGGAGGATGACCTGAAGATCAGCAGCGACGAGGAAGAGACCGAACAACAGGTGAGCTTCAGTCCATCCATCCATTCATTTATAGGTCATTTATGTATGCACATCATCTCTCCCTCCAGTGCTTCCTCCACTCTGTCCCTCAATCATCATACATTAGATTAATTTCACATGTGTGATTCATTCATGTCCGGTAATCAATTGAACCTATGTTTCTGAAAGCTTCCACTCACCATTCATCCCTTTTCTCATTTACTCTTTCATCGGTTGATCCATGCATCTAATCACTCTCAATCAGTTTTTATATGGGCGCCATCTCCATTAAATATTTAACCCCTTCAGTCCCAGCTGTTTCTCCATACTCCCATTTGTCTCCATTTGTGTCTCTTATAATTGTCCAATGTGAATCTATTGCACATTTTCTTTCTCGGAACACCCAGGGCCTGTTGATGTTGAATTAAGGTTTTCCTGAGACATTTCTCACCACATTTATTCTTTGAGGCTGAAACTGGCAGCAGCTACAGTATTAACAATTACAACAGGTGACAAGTGATAATGTGCAACAATAGCAAACATTTACTCACATACATTTTACTAACCTTCTGCACAAGTTAAGTCAGCAACATGTCTGAGGTGAAGAGGAAACACCACTGTGAACGTGAAGAGTTTGCAAAAAGAATGGCACTTAAAAAGTTCATAGCTCCACCAAGGCCCAACAGTTTACAAATTCACTAGATCGTTCTTTTTGTTGGGATCTGCACAAAACTCTGCACACTTGTAAATATCAGTCACCTAAACATGGCTGACAAATAATTCCTTGAGAAGTCAACCTTTGAATCAACCTTTCACATTTCTAAAGAAATAGAAAATCTTTCCAGCCTCTCCCTTATCCAGATTTGAATCATAATTCAATGGTTTCTTCCCTAACACATGCCACACCCTTCCACCAGGTTAATGGTAATCTGTCCTGCAGTTTGTGTGTAATCCTGTTAACTATCAGACAAATGCAACTGAAAACATGACCTCCACATAGTCAACTATGAACTCTGTAGAGGCTCTTTCTCCTTTTGAGAAATGGGGACGACCAATGTTTTGCATTGACTGGGGATGCTCATATGGATCATGGCTAAATGAGCATTGAACGATGAGAAGATACTCAGGTTATGCAAAGGCTTAACCAATAAAGTGGCCATAAGTCAGATTTTCTGACTTTATGACAAATATAACAAGGCACTCACAAATTCAGAAAAACATTTGCACGTGCTTAAATAATATGAACAACAGATTAATTAACATATTTCTGTTCCATCGTTATGTGTCATTGAAGACCTATTGTGGTCCATATGTTGTCATGTCAAATCAAATAGCAAGATACCAAATCATTACAGTAACTGAGTAAACATATCAGATTACAACCTGGAAGCTGTGGTTATAAATCCCAGGTTAATGTTCACACTGAGGTGGTTACAGCGACTTCAGCTCAAGTTTCACTGTGTAAATAACAAGGACAAGAGTTTATCTTTCTTACAAGTGCTTTTCAACAACCCGTTGGTTCCAAGAACTATCTTATAGAGCTGTGAGTTTACACAAGCAGGTTGAAGTGTAAACTATGCAGCAGTCACCCTGGTACTTTCCCATAAATGTACTTTTCAAAGGAAGGAAGTGTACTTGACGTACCCTCTTGCAAAGAACGCTAGGTTTAAAATAATAGTTTTTTATTAGTTGCTAGGTGCTAGTTGATGACAGCAGTTACTACTAATTATTCTGCTACAGACGATACTTTGACCAAGTAAGGAATTAGAGCTGCTGAGCAAAGTGTTTCCACTCATCTGTCAAACATGATACATCATCACATATGGACCACTGGTGTGATCTACATCATGGAAGGATGATACAT